TCTCCCCTTCTATTGTTCCACCATCAGAATAGGGTACTTTTGGCTATTAGTATCAATGCTGAAACTCCCCCAAATGCCTAAAGATGTGGTCCCCAACATCTTATGTAAATTGAGTCAATAAGGTTAAAAACAGTATTCAATCACAGTGTTTGAAGGCACGCCCTTTGAGGGGTGATTATAGGATTAAAAGGGCTTCACTGGGTTAAAGCATGATTATTAGAGCATAGACAGGCCTGCACCATCCTCACTGTTACGTGAAACTCTGCCCCACCATAGGAATGTGCCAGCTGTAATGACACCGCTGGATGCCAAACCCATAAAACCAACCAATCTTGGACTAAGAAGCTCTGAAGCTATGAGCTGGAAATAACCTCCTTCTTTCATAGATAGCTCGCTTGGTTATTTTGTTGTAGTAACAGAAAGCTCACTAGCACAGGCATCTAGACACATTTTCTTGTCCTCAGATTCCCTCATCAGGGAGTGGCCACTTCATTCTTATTTCTGGCCAGAAGCCCCTCTTTATCTGACGATTTCTCCAGGCTCCTCAGCACATGCTATGGACTGCATTTTCAAAGCAGGTTCAGAACTCAACTGCTTCTCATCTCTCCTGTTTCAGGAAGCTATCTGGAGTCCCCAGGGGACGGATATCTACTTGCTGAGCTGTATACACCACTCCAAATGGGGCACACACTCTTCTCCATTTGTGCCACATTTCCCAGTAAATCTCAGTTTCCTTAGGCTATCTCATGTCATTCCTTTGCTTGAACCTTGTCATTCAAAGTAAATCCCATATGGATGGCTGTTTGCACTCTGGCCCCACACTGCTTCCTCCTATGTCAGCCATACTGACCTTCAGCCAACTTTCTGCTTTGAGATCTTTGCTCAGCTCCCACATTCTTTAGGGAACCTTGTTATGACTCCTACGGTCCATGTCCTATTTCCTTTACCCTCTACAGGGAGATTCTCATCAGTGGCAGGTTAAGTTGTGTCTCCTAAAAGATGTGCTCAAGTCCAAAACTCTGGTCCCTGTGAGTGTGGCTGGATTTGGAAATCTGGTCTTTGCAGTTGTGCTCAAGTCAACAGATAGTCACACTTGTGCGAGCATTCATATCATCCAGTGACTGGTGCCTCTGCAAGAACAGTCATCTGGGCATGCATTCATACAAGGGAGGACACCTTTGTGCAGGAGGGGAGGTTAAAGAGATACATCCAGACAAATGTCTTGGTTCATTTGTGCCATTGCCATGAAAAAATATCCGAGTACATTTGAAGCATCAGAATTTTATTTTTTCCCTGCTCTAGAGGTGGGGAAGGCCAAGATCTAAGTGATTGGAAGGGTTGGTGTCTGGTGAGGTGCCAATCTATGCTCCCATGATGGTTCTGTAGCTGTGCCCTTCAGAGGGGGCAGAATTGAAGAACAAGACTTAGTTCCCCTGAGTTCCATAAGGGTAACTGCAGTATCCCATCTATGAGGATTCCACTCTCATGACTTCATTACCTTAAGGATCACCCTCCTCACTCCTATGATACTGATTACTAAATTTCAACCTAGGGTTTGGAGAAGGACATTCAGACCTTGCAGCCAGGAGCACACAATAGCAGAAACACCAGATGTAGGGAATGAATGGAGGCCTGGAGCAAGCTCTCTCTTAGAGCCTCCATAAGCATCAACCTGTCCGACGATAGTTTGGGATTGCAGGTTTCTGTAACCTTGAGACAACAGATTTCTGTTGCTTTAAGCCATCTGGCTTGGGTGCTTTAGCAATCCTAGCAACTAGAACTCCCCCACCTGACATATAGTGAGTCAGTCTGCTGAGTATGTGCCTCCCCTCCTGGAAGGAAAGAATTCTGTCTGTTGGTCATTGCCAAATCTCCCATGACTGGGAGTATGCCTACTATAGATGGCATAGCACAAAGGAGTCCTCTTGGCAAAGTGGAATTAAAAGTTCACCCAGTGTGTGGGACTGTCATGTTCTGCTTTATTCTTTCCTGTCCCACCTACAGCGGGTGACTGACCCATGGGTGGCAGAGGGGCTGTGCTTAGCTGGCATGGACATCTCTCATTCTGTGTGTGAGCTTGGTATCTTCCATGCTGGGAACAGGTTAGGGCATAACACTAACCCCAACAATTTCATTTTTAATTGTCCACAGAAACCCTTACAGAAATCAGAGGGGAGAGTTGAAAAAAAAAACTGCATGCAGTTATTTGTAAAAACAAATAATGATACTTTGCATGCATGTAAGACATTTTATCTTCAAAACACTTTCAAAACATCAATTAATCCTTACAATAGCACCAATGAGAGGGAGAATTTGAGACATGCAAAAACTTAATTACCAATATTAAAATTTGGCACTTGACTAACCCTCCTCCTACTGGGGCAGAAAACACATTCCACACTGTCTCCTTTTACTCTCAAAATAATGAACTTGGGAACTTAGTTCTATTAAGCAGCAGTAGGGGAGAGGGTTGCTGATGTTCTCCTCAGAGTTCCCGCTTCTAGGATTCTGAGCACCAAGGAACTCAGGAATACAATTTGGTCTTCTTTGGAACAAAAATTTACATGATTCTTTGAGATCCCAAGACTAAGACCAATGAGTAACCCAACCCATCATCCAACAGAAGTTCTCAGCAACTTGTTGAGCCGCAACTTCATAATCTAGTAAGAGTTTATCTGCGCCCCCTGGGTGAGGGAAGATAGCTTGTGCAAAGACACTTGGCCACACTTTGTATGTTAGCGTATTAGATTAGTTGATTCCAAAATGTTCACGTACTAAAGGCTTGGTCCCTGAAGTTAATGTAACTTAGGGTGGAAAATTAATCCAGTTATGATGTTTGGAGGTGGGGCTTTTGTGAATTGAGTAAATTGGATTAGGCTGTTAGGGTGGGGCATTCATGAGAGGCAGTCTTGTGCACTCATTCTGGCTTTGTGATGCTTGATAGTACCTGGGAACATTGCCAGCGAGAAGCACATCATGAGATGCTAAACAAAGGGGGCCATCTGACCTTGGCTTGAGAACCTCCCAAACCGTGGGCTAAAATCAACCTCCTTCCTGCAAACAGGATCTTGCCCTAGGAACTAGCAATGGAAAGAAAGGGTGGCCAACAGGGTGGAGCTGTGCAGAGCTGCTTTCAGAAGCCCGAGCATTCTGAGATTTCTGTATTCTGTAACCTGGACAGTGGGGGACCTGGTGCTAATACGCTTTAGCAGGAAGAGGAGCTGCTGTCTCCTCTGAATGAATCCTTTCCACTAGAGGCCAGCTGGTATCCTTCAAGTCCTGAGCAGGACTGCTGGTACTGAGTGTACTAAGCCATGGACTTTTGCTTCCTGAACGGAGGTAGAGCATAACTCTTCATTCCACAAGTATGGGTTGGGCATAGCAGCTTCCTTTTGAAGAAGACTGCATGGAAAATAGGAATGAGAGGGTAACTTGACGGGGGAAACCTGGCAAACAGAGCATCAGCCAGGTGAGTAAGGTCCATATCAAAGTGCAAACAGGTATTGCTTTCATCTTTGGGTCCATATTCCTCCACTGGAATATTTATTTCTTTAGAACATACAAATCTCTCTGACATCAAAAACTGCTACAGACAGTAGTGGTAACATCCATCTGGGTGTGTTTCTCAGTTCTTATTCCCATTACCGGGCCAAAGTAATGTGTAACCTGACTCTACCTCACATTTCCTATATCTGCTTATCTCTAAGCACAGGCCTTGTTGCTTTTTTTTTTTTTTTTTTTTTTTTGCCAAATCGAGTAATTAATTAATTAATTTAGAAGAGTTACAGAGAGCAAAAGTTGGAAAGAGGGAGAGACAGAGAGAGCTTCCATCTACTGGTTCACTCCCCAGATGGCCACAGTGACACAGGCTGAGCCAGGCCAGAAACAGGAGCCAGGAATTTCTCCCAGGTGTCCTAGGCGTGACAGGGGCCCAAGCACTTGGGCCATCTTCTGCTGCTTTCCTAAGCGCATTAGCAACGACGTTGGGTAGGAAGTAGAGCAGCGGGGCCATGAATGGGTGGCAGTATGGAAGGACAGCATTGCAGGTAGAGGGTAGAGGGTCCTGTCTTGTTGAGCACACTTGTTTTGGTTCCTTAAGTTTTTTGTGGTCATGCCATATACCATTTAAGATGGGTCCTGAGGCCCTGTGATTAAGAAGTTAGAGAACTGGAAGAAGCTCTCTGGTAATTGGTTTTGGGTGGGAGTTTTGGAATTGAAATGATAAGAATACTTTTCACACGGATGGTGATGATGGAAGAATTAATTAAAAAGAAAATATCCCTCAACTGTTGTTCAAGTCAGCATGAATTTTCATTTACATTTATTTTCTTAAACAAGCATCTTAACAAGCCTTCTGTGCTCAGTAAAGTAGCCCAGGTGAGGCCATTTTGGCCCAGGAGCTGGTATATGCTGGAAGCATTTGGGCGGGGGAAGACCTGGATGCCTACTGCTTTAGTCCACACTGATCTGCTCAAGCTGTTTTCATAGCAGGACTCAGTGGGCATCTTTCTGGTCTTCCTCCACCTCAGAGACAGAGAAAACCAAGGGGAGAGAATGTAGATCCTTGTGCAACTGTTTTATTTGCCATTCACACTTGGTATAATACTGGATTTACAGAAGGAACTGCGGTAACAAAGAAATGAAGGCTCCCGGGCATAGCACAGCTGCCCAAGTTGGGCATGATTGGAGAAGCCTAGTCCAGTGGGCTGTGTTCAGTGAGCACCTGCTCTCCTGTAGTAAGGCACCCTGGAGAAGACCCGGGGATCTTTTATGACCAGGCTTAAAAACCAAGTTTGGCAGGTCCCTTCCAGACATAGTCAACGTGTCAGTACCCAGGAGAAAGGAGCCCACACGTGAATTTCCAGGCTGCTGTGTGACCAGGTCCTATAACGGTTGTAGAAACAGATGCTAGGTGGGATGGGGAGAACTTGTGGAATTATGAAGGCAAATTGTGTTTCTTTGCCTTTTTCTTTTTTTACAATAGATGTGTTATGCCACCATTTCATTTTGGAACTTTATTTTTTTTTTCCATTGATCATTATACATCCAGAATAACACAAATAACCAACAGTTCTTTTTGGTTTTTTTGCACATTCATTTCCTTTAGAACAAAAGTGAACTTAAAAAAAGAAATTGGAACCATGCCGTTAGCTGTTTACAAAAGTAAGTAAGGAGTAGCTCATTTTAAAGTCTAAAATAAACAAAGTAGAAAGAAGCATTTTTCCTACAGTATGTAGCAAACATAAGAAAAGGTCCTTGGAAACACACAAAAATGAAGAACGTTATTATAGCCATTAATATTTTATAATGAAGCTTAAAATCTATTTACATACATAAATACAATTAAATTTGTTGATGCAACTCTTCTGGGAAGAAAAAAGAAATGCCACGTGATCAGTCTCATCAATACTGACCTGGCTAAAGGCAGGGAAAAAAATTCCCAACAAATAAACAAAACCCCTAAATGTGTACTCTAGGGTTAAATAAAATGGTATTTTGCTTGTTCAGACATTAAAAAAAAAGTTTCCTGCGTTTCTTGTCAAACCAATTTTTCATGTATAAAAGACCCCAAACATGTCATCTCCCTAAAAAATAAAACACACACACACACACACACACACATACACTGCCAAAATGAAAAGTCACCAGGACGGAATGTCCCGAGATTACAGGTATTGCAAGACAGACATCTGCAGTTGCAAACTGTAGGACCTGCAGACCAAACCATCCTCCTCTCTGATCAGAGCATCCTGTTTATCTGCACAGATGCCTGGCGGGGGCAGGACGGGCTGTGGCCAGGCTGCCTCCTCGCCGACTGGGCCTCGCAGGGTTCCTGTGACTGCAGATCCTGAAGGCTTAGCCAGGAGTAGCTCACTGGCCTGAGCAAGGCTGACTCACCGTGGCCAGCCTGCCTTCTGGGACCTTGGGCACTGTGGTTGAAGGTGTGTGCGAGCTCCTCCCAGAAAGTGGAAAGATCATAAAGGCTGCAGGTCGGCTTGCTAAGATGGAGGAAAAGGGAGAAAAACGTTTCTCAGACAGCGAGAAAGACGGAAGTGAAATTATATGTCGATGTGTTGAAATGAGCAAGGGCCTGAATAAGCACAAAAGGCTCCTGCACTTGTGCACCAATGCTCGCAGGTAGACCCAGTTAGTACACGATTGGCATTAAGGATCTTCCTGACACCTTAATTTACCTGGAAGCAATGGATGCAAAATATATCTATATTTATGTGTGTGTCTGCACGTGCAAGACCTATCTTCCGAACAACTGAGATGTAATTTTTTTTTTCCTAAAGCCAATGAGTCTACCCAGAGTGACGAGCCCTCTCCATTCAGCCTCTTTCTGGAGTGAAGATTGTGTGCGAGGGAATCTCTGATTTTCCTGGGGAGGGGGTGGGTAATGAGGCAGGTTTGGGTTGAATATCTCCAGGTACCAACATGGAACTGAAAAAAAAAAATAAAAATAAAAAGAGAGACTCTGATTCCTTCATTCCCCCTCAGTATTCTGCCAGGTCACATAGGGCAATAAATGTGCTAAGGAATATCTTCAGCTCAGCTGGGGAGAAATGGGTTAGCGGTCCTTTCTAGAAATGCAATTTTTAACTTTTCTGACATTGGATGGTAATTGAATCGCAAAAAAAAAAAATATGTATGGAATATGAAACTGGTGCGGAGGCAGCTGTCTGGTATGAAAATGAACAGGTTCTGGGTTTCTCCAAGATCTGCTATAGCCCTTCTAGATAAGAACGAACTAACAACACAAGCTGCTTTACCCTTTAACTCTCACCAAAGTGCTACTGCATCTGTGTAAAACAAATAATCAATATATATATATAAAGAAAATTCAAAAAAAAAATCAAGTTGTTTTAAATAAGTCCAGCTGTTTTGCTGCCTGCAGCCAAAGATCTAATTTGAACACTTAAATTTATAAAATAAAAATCAAACACTGTTCTGAAGTCCTGCTTTCAAATACTCCGCAGAGTTGACCTGAAATCACTTCCACTAATTTAAGAGGTACATTAAATAACAACCAGATCGTCTCAAACACACGCATGTCTAAGTCAGCAGTCATGCAGCTGCATCGAGACCAAATCCTCTAGTGAACAGAGTGCCATCGAATTTACAGTGACATTGATAACATTGAGATTGTAGCCATGGCCAGCAGCAACATGACTCTTCCCGGGCATGCTGGTGCCACACCCCATAGGGCAGGGTCTCAGTCTGGGGGGTGGGAGTGGGGAGTTGCAGAGGGCGAGGGGTCCTGAGTGTTCCAACCCCTGACTCATCACTGGTGTGCATGCGGAGGGACCCGCTCCTACAGCCTCTGGGTTCACCCTCTGTAAGCTCAACTGGAGGCTTTTCACCCCAAAGGCACCTGGACTAGTCCCTTCCTCTGCCGCCACTGGTGGACAGCCACAGATTCTGTTCTGCGTCAGTGAACAGGTACGGTTGCAAAGAGGAACTGCTAGCCCCTCGATGTGACTGGTTAAGACACCCCCTCCATCCACTAACTTGGCCCCTCTGTCAACAGAGCTCCACTTGGGATGTCTTCCCTTACAAAGCATGTCAGAAATCACCAAAGGCCTTGGAGTGAGCAAATCCCTCGGGAGAAACTGAATCCTCCCCGGAACACGTGATCACCGGCACCTGTCTGAACCCTCGGGGACCAGACTTGACCTTCGCTGTCTGAAGAGGAGCCAGATATCAGACCCTTTGTAGAGCGTACCAGAAAATTCCATACTTCTGATCTTCGGAGTGACTCTCAGTGTCTGAAAATCCTATTTAAAAACATTGCTGCATTAGCGACCAACTTGTTTAATTAACATAAAAGGGAGTTTAATGTAAACAATATTTCTAGATAACCAAGTGATCACATTAGCCATCCTTTTTTTTCCAGCCTTCTTCAATGTGACACATTTAACTCTGGCTTCTTTCACAAACAAAAGAAAAGAATGTAGTACTTGATTTTTTTCTTCTTAATATAAGTACATTTAAATAATTAAAAAAAAGTATCAACACGTAAGTAAATGTCTGAACATCAAGATACATAAATAGGGATTCCTTGTGGGAATACAGTAGTTAAAAATGACCCAAAGCTGTAGCTGTCTCGAAGAAAAAAAAAAAAAAGGCACAGCTACACACCAGTCCAAAGAAAAGTTAAATAAAACAGAGAAGGAAATCATATAGTTCTTTCAATTGTCAAAGCAAGAAAGAAGCAAGCTCAAATTTGTATCTGTGTATATAAAAATAAAAACCACCCAAATGCAAATACGCATTTTGCCATTGATAAGGTGCGGAAAAGGAAAAAAAAAAAAAAAAGAATTAGATGTCAAACAGGACGAGTTGCATCCCTCCGCGGCCCCCCTCCCCTAACCAAAATTCCATATTCTTTGGAAGAAACGACTTGGTTAAAAAGTGAAGTCAAGGGTATAAAATCTTTCTTTTATTCACAGCATTGCTAAATCAGAAGCATTCACAGTTTCCCTCCGGGAATCTTCCTGTTTCCTTTGCCACGTGTCCACACGCTGGCGACGGTCTGGTGGACACCCTCAAACTGGGTCAGGTTTGAAAACCTGCGAAGTGCCAGGGGCGACAGCGGCGTAGCGCAGGGGTGCCCGGCCTGGAGTGGGGTCCCCAGGTGATGGTGATGGCAGCGGCGGGCCCAGGCGGGGCTCCCCGCAGCACGCAGCACGCGGGGCTCCCCGCAGCTCTTCCCTGGTCAGTGTCGCGTCGGACGATCCCAGGTGGCCGCTGTCCCTCAGTAGGGCCGCCACACGGCCTCCTCCAGGCGCGCGGCAGGTGCCATGTTGGTGGGCGAGTTGCTGTGGCTGCCCTCGGCCTCCACCACGTCGCTCTGGTTCGGAAGGCTGGGGTTGAGCAGGGCCGAGCCGGTGGAGGCGTTGGTGCAGGGCGGCAGGATGCGCGGTGGCGAGCGCTCGCCGCCCACCAAGGGGAACTGGTAGGAGCCGGCCGAGGCGCCGTAGTACAGGTGGTAGGAGGGCGAGCTGGTCTGGAACGGACCTCCCTGCGCCTGCGACGAGCCCGGGTAGGGCGGCGGCAGGTACGTGTGGTAGCGCGTGGCCGAGCCCATGGCCGGCATGCCGATGCCGATGCCCGACGTGACGGGCGTCGGGGAGTAGGTGAAGGCGCCTGGGTAGTGCATGCGAGGGTCTGAGATGGAGGACAGAGCGGGGAACTGGCGCGGATCGCTGAACGTCAGGTCGGGCGCTGCTGCAGAGCGGAGGAGAAAACATCTGGTGAGTTGCGTCGGGGAGGCCTGCGCTCGCTGCTGCTCCCCACGTCGCCGGCAGGGAGGCAGCCCAGGAGTCACTGCCCAGGAGCTTGCGGCAGTGACCCCAAAATGCCACAGCCCACGAGGACAGGGACTATCCGAATGCTACTCGCTAACACAGATGGATTTATCCCAAAACCACCATCCGGAGGGCTGCTCCTGCCCAAGGGAAGCGTAACATAGAACATCACGTAATTCACTATGATATATGCAATGATGTGTGCTCTACGTAATATAAGATAGTAACGCAACGGGCATAGTATAGATGCACTATAACGTCTTCTGTATAGAATATTGATATAATCCCACCAGCCCAATGTGCCAGCTGCCAATTTTTCCGTTTTGCAAGGGCTAAGAATAAGCTTTAGTTTTTGGGATAGTTGAAGGAAAATCCAAAAGTGCCTAGTATTTTGTGACATGTGAGAAGAGTGGGCAGTCCTACTTCAGTGCCCATGTGCAAATCGGGCCCAGCCTCGCTCACTGTGCTGCCGAGGGTAGTGTGCCCTGGCATCCATGTGAGGTCAGGCCACAGGTCAGCGGGCGCCACAGCACCTACAATATTTATTTTCTATTTTCTTATGGAAAAAGTTTGCCAGATCTTTGTATTATACATTTTTAAAATGTTTATAATTAAAATAATGCGTCAATATAATCAAAATATGAATACCAATTTCATCTGTAATATTAACATGAAATTATGTAATAGATTTTGAATGCTAATCTTAAGAGATTAATACATATCAATATTAAGAGAAATATATGCAACGTAACCATGTAATGATTTATAATACTATTTTATATGTAATATTTAGGTTGAATTGTGAAAAATTACCAATCCTGTGAGCGTGGAACAGTTGAAAACTGGTCATTTCCTGTTTTTCCTTTTAATGCTGGCACAGTGAGGGCTGTAGGTGATTGACAGGTAACCTGGCTACCATTCCTCTCTCCCCACAGGATCTGTCTTCAGATCAATCGGGGTCTAGTCTTCTCTGTACGGATTTCCTTGGCTTGTTAACACGAATGGATGTCGGATCCTGATTTACGGTGCTATAATTTTTTTTTTTTTGTACATGCTGAAATGTTATCTGGAGTAGCAATAATGTGTCTCTAGAATTCTTTTGTTAGGGTTTGGGTGTCTGTAGTGTCACAAGCTGGCTTTTGCTGTCCTGCGGTTCCTTGCATCCTTTTGCACTTCTTTTTCTTCTTACAGGCTGATCTCTGGAACTACTAGAGGGCTGGGCACCCCAAAGGGGCCTCTGTGTCCTGTGGTACAAACCTGAGCAGTGTCATCATTGTTAGGGGAGGGGGGGTTTGCTATGTGCAAGGTGAGATGCTTCCCCATGCCAGCACTGTTCCCTCCCTGCACTGTGAAATGTCTCCAGATATTGCCAAACAATTTGGGGTGGCTGACTCCACCCTGTTCTCATCCCTGCCTGAGAACCAGCACCTCGGACAGAAGGCTGGTGTCCCAGGGTAGTTTCTGTTCTTCAGAATTATTCATGAAATGACCAGGCCAGAGGACAGTGTTGACATCAGCAGACCCAAAGATAGCAACAAAGCCAGGCAGGAGAATGAAATGTTTTAAAATTTTAAGTTCTCAAATCAACCTATAGAACGGCTCTCCGCTCAGATGGCATGTGACCTGTGTCCTCCTAAGTTCCGGCCAATAAACTGGGCAGGGCCAAAAACTTGCCCTGAAAGGAAAGCTCCCAGGGTGGCTTAATCTGTTTTTGGAAGGCACCGGCTGCTGATCAACTTCCTCATATTTCAGGCCTATTCTTCAGCAAGCAGAGCTAGTCCCACTCTCTCCCTCTCTCTCTCTCTACTCTGCTCTACCACCACTCTCCACCATCCCTCCCCGTGATGGGTGTTTTATTGCTGTAACACATTTTTTTTTAAGATGAACTTCTCCGTACATTTGGGGTGAATGTGATAAAGAGAGTCCTCATCAGAAGAGCTGATCAAAGTTTACAGAAACAGCCGAAGTCCACAGCAAATCCCTCCACCAATGAGGAAACCAGGAGGCTCCCTCTCAAACATTCCTGTTACTCTTTTCAAAGCAAGTCAGACATGTGGGTAGAGAAGAAGTTGTAAACAGACAGGGGCTGGGGGTCTGCCCTTCCTCGGCCACTTCTCTAGCTCCTTCTCCACCTGGGCCACACCTTGTTCCACAGGGTTCATCTCTGTCCACTCATGGGTGAGCAAGGCCCGTGTCACCTGGTCTCTGCTTACAAGCATGGCTATGCCATGCTTGATGTGGCAGGAAGTTTTACTCCCCCTGCTATTAAACTTATATAGTCTAGAGAAAAGGAAAGGTAGGAGGAAAAGCATTAGGCAAATACAGCAATTTGCAGCCCTCTGATGCAATCTTCTGGACACAGATAAATGACTGCCCATGATTCTTCTCACCGCGCCTGCCCTGTGACAGAAAAGGTGAACCCCCTGGGAGAATGGATGAGGCTGTCCAGGGCTCCCATGTGGCTTTGGGACACACTCTGCCCGTCTGTTCCCACAGCTCCAAGGGGATGCAGTGATGGCCCTGACTGCCTGGAGTCCCTTGTGAGTGCACGACCACTCAGGAGCAGCAGCGCTAGAATGCTACTCCCTTCTCAGCTGTCTGGTTGGGATGCAGGTGGGGCTGGATGGTTCTCTCATTTGCAGGCAGCATATCTGTACTGCCTACACAAGAGTCGTGTCACATGAAGGACCATCCACTTGGTCACATTTTTCTTCTCTTTCACACACTGGGATACTAACACTGTTGGGATCCTCTAATGTGCTCAAAGGATCTATTCAAACAGTTGCTTCCATTTTCAGAACTGGTCTGTCAGCCCTCCTGAGCAGACCCAGCATCACCTGTGTGACCACAGCTCCTCCTGTCTGTCAGGTTGAGCGAGAGCTGACTTATTTTGTGGAAGTGTGGATGGAGGTGGGGACCCCTGGTGCTTTTTAAAAGTAGGAAATCTGGGGATTAGGAAATACAGCTATTTTGGATGGAAATGTCCCCTACCCCCCGACCGGTGGGGCTAAATATCTGCTATGACAGCTCAAGTCTTTGTGCCACAGTTTGACGTGGATGAAAGCAGCCCCACGCCGGGGCCCCTCCCGCTGCCCCCAAAGGATTAGACAGCCTGAGCAGATAATGGCTGCCTCAAAAGAATCTCCTGCATGACTCAGATTAATGCATGCTGTCTGTCGCCCCCGCTGGCAGCTACACATTAATTTTTTTTTTCTGAAAAAAAGAAAAAAAGAAAAGTAAACCTCCAGATGACAACTCTTTTCAGACAAGGTGTGGAGTCTGTCTGCAAAGGTTAGAGAGAGGGAGAGAGAAGGAGCCAGAGTTGGAGTCCCCATGGAGAAGGAAGCCCAGGTGGGGCCGAGGCCCGGAGAGGGGCAGTGGGATTAAAAGGGAAGGCGGCACAGAACAGTGTCAGGTTCTCAAAGCCGTCCCGGGCAGACACGTTGCTTTTATGTGTCTCTGCTCTCCTGCCGCCCCCAGGTTTATGACAAGGCCTCTCGGGCTCATGCTCCAGGCTTGACTTTGCAGAAGGAGCTCTGCCAAGTTGAAGAACAGTCTCCCGTGCAATTGGAGAGCTGGGTGGAATTCCCTGGTCCTCCCTCCAACACAGCGGTGGGATAGTGGGGGGAGGGGTGCTGAGATGGGTCTTTTTTTCTTAATCTCCTTCACTCTCACATGCTCTCCTCCTCTCCCCTTGCCTCTTGAGCAGCAGGCTGTTCAGAGATAACTGATGGGATTCTTCATTAAGAATGCCCCTGCCCCATTTCTGTTTAATAGCAGAGGCGGGTCCCAGGGTTCTAGTGCCAATCTTGGCTAAGTCAGGAGATGCATGGGACAGACCTGTCCCATGGTCATTCGCATAGGAAACAGGAAATGTTTCAGATGAAGGCCTGAGCCAGTGTGCAGAGTTTAAGAGTCTGTAAAAGTAGATGAGTGCTTTTGGAATCAAAATCGACTAATCAGGTTCTAGAAAATTAGAAGCTGAACAAATCCACCATCCCTGTGCTGCACTTCCAGCTCCATGAAGATGCTGGCACGAGCGGCCGGAAAGGTGAAAACTGAGGTGGGAGGTGCGTGAGATGGTGGAACTCCCGCTTCTCCAACCCCAGTGGAGCACCGTTTGGTCCCCCAAACCCAGGGGTGCTGCTGGGAGAATCTCTGAGAAGTTCACTCTGGGACTGTCTCAGCAGCAGCAGAGAGATCTGGCGAAGTCTCAGCAAACACGCTGATTTGGAAAACAATCTTACACAACCTCGAAGATGGCAGACGCGGCTCCTCTGCCCCCTCAGACTCTCCCTAGTCTGCTCTAATCTCATCTCCTGGGCACAAAAGCAGAAGCCGCCACCTCCCGCCCCGCCCCCAACACTCTTGCAAGTATATTTGCAGGCATCCCCATGCTCAAGTTCTCCCAGGGTTTTCACAGTTGAGTCCAGCTCCAATTTCAAAGCCCCACACAGCAAGGTTTTTCTTTTCTTTTTTTTTTTTCCCCCCTCAACAAAGGAATTTTCCTGTGTAACTCTCATGATTTCCCTGCCCACAAGCAAAGGTGAGTGCCAAGCCCAAAGGGCCTGTAGGTGAAATGACTAATATTTAATGAGCTCGTATTCACAACAATTATGCTAACCATGACACCTGAGCTTCTCAGGCTGCTTCTCTGACCTCGGCACGGACAGCGCCCAACTGGAAATGTACAATGTAGAGTACCCTGCTTCTGCCCCACATGTGCCCTCCATCCCTGGGCAGAGCAGTCCCATCTGGCCAGAACTCAGTTGAAACAATGACTTCTAGAAGCTGACCAGTCTGGCCTTTGACTCTGCTAACCCTTCAGCTACACGCATGTGTCAGGAAGAAATGGTGCATGGCACTGTGTGTGGAGTATTCAATACTTGTCCTTCACCGGACTATCATGTTCACAGCCCTCCTCACATACTTCCCTCCCCGGATCCTCCACTGCAAATCTGCTGCAGAAACATGTGTTCGCAAGCCACTCACTTGAGAGCCGACTGGAAAGTTCTGCGGAGAGGGTCGTCATGCCGCTGGCACGTCCAGGCGAAATGGGCGTTGCTGGGTGCACGGAAGGAGAGGCGATTGAGCCCAGGTACTGGTAGGACTGATCGTAGGACCACGGTGGGGACGGCTGGATCTGCCTTGTATCTGCAGAGAATCAGGGAGGTCAGGTGTATGTGGGGTGAGGAGGAGGTGAAAATTTTAAAAAATTGAAGTCTTTTAACAAGAAAACAGTAAGTGGTTAAATGTATTTTCCATGAATGTGGCTTGTTTGTATGAGTGTCCCTCTAAGTCCATGTCCAAAGGGCTGCCTCTGTTGGATGATGGCTGCCCCCAAAAGATGCTGACATTTTACGTTGATGCTGGGAGGTGCTAACAACTGTCTCCTTCCACAGACTGTATCTGATTATGCTAACAGTGGAGAGAGGAGAGGGTGGCACTTCCCAGGTGGAAGAGTTAATGTGCAAACCGGCTGCCCGTGGCACCCCATGGCACCAGTGGCTTCCCTTACTCACTGCATGGATCGTTTCAGGTTTCCAGGGAGTTATCATCATCAGAAGAGCCTCAGAAGCTCATGTGATCACCTGTCTGTGTTCAGTAATGCCAGCTCCAGAGTTTGGCAATATGTATGTGCCATTGGTGAAAGTGTCCTGTGGTCTCCTAAACGTTTTCTATCTGTGTGACTTCTCTCGCCAGGCTGGCTACAAAGAAGGCCTGGCTGTGAAGCTGACCAGGAAGTGCGATGGCAGAGAGCTCACACAGCCCGTTGGCAGAGCTGGTCCCATCAAGCCCTCACGTCCTGCTCCTTTTCCGGATTTCAAGTTTGCAGCTTTTAAAAGGGCAGACCTTTGAGCGAGTGTCTCACAGGTTGCCCTTCTAAGATGCCTGGGACAAAGAAGAGACGGAGAGCCTGACTTCAAAAGATTTCGGCAAAATGGATTTTGTCAATTTGACTTCGGCATTCAGAGGAGTCTTAGTTTTTAAAAGCATCACACTGCAGATGAAAAGAAAGGAACAGAAAAGCCCCTCTATTTTTAGGCAAAATTGTAAAGAAATTTAAGTTGGATGCTGTCCCACGACACGACAAGACAGTTTTATGTTTCCTTAGTGTTAAACATTAATTTTCTCTTTGTGTCCCACCCTGCGGGAAAAAATAATAGTACATTATTGTAACTCACAAGGGTCTTGACAGGCAATCTATGACAAACTGCTGTCTTTTGTAAGCACCAAGTTCAAGTGTTGCATAAGCCATGATATGCAGAAATGAGTTATTTTTGCTCATTATGAAATACTCAAATCTGCTACCTCCAGGACCTTCTTTTTCCCTTTTCAGTTCACCTTCTTGAAGTTGCCTTGGTGGACAACAATCAAGACGCGTGGAGACCCACGCCGCCCTCCCCCTTCTCGTTCTTACCCCCGCTCTCGGACCGGTTTCTTCCTGTTCTTGAAAACAACTGGATTCTTAAGTTTGAAAACTCTGGTAGCTCCTAGACAAATATTTTCACAGGGGAGCTTTGAAATTTAACATTAAGGAAATTATTCATTTCATTCTGAAGTGTAGAGGACTTGACGAGATGGCAAGGACTAAGAGAGCTGGTGCTTTTTTAACTGAGCAGGAAATAAATGCTCAGTGTCACAGAAGATCCTGTATAATCACTGAACCGACAGTGCCTCCAATACATGAAGGCAAATCCCAGCCCCAGATTGCTGGATATTCCCTGTTACTTGTAGTATTTTGCTCTGAGTTTAAAAGTGTGTATATATATATATATAGAGAGAGGATTTTCTAGAAGATGCACATATGCTACAGATAAACACGTGTACTAAGTGAATATATAGTCCTCAAATATTTTAATTACTTTAAGAAAGCAAACAAAAGACAGTTTACCATTGTCATAAAGCCCTCCGGGGTGTGAATTGTGGTATAGTAATCCCTGCCTTGTTGTGTAGTGTAGACAGCCTAGTACCCCTAACCCCATGTCGAAAACCACACTAAGCATAAAGCATTATGCCATGATTCATGCTCTGTCATGTTTTACTGTAGGGAAAAAGTTGTGCTCGGCTTTTCTAAACTCATAATTAAACCATGCAAACGTTGCATAATATTTCACAGCCTTTTAAAAATATGCTTTGGTAAAGTGATCTTTATGATTAAAGTCCAAGTTGTATGATTTCTGTTTTTTAAACACAGGGTTGTAGATTCAACCTCATCTTACTTCACAGTGCAACTTGACTTTTCAGGTGCTGGGCTGAGGGACAGCCTGCCTTCTCTCCCATCGGGCTGCCTGCGTGCCTGTGACTGTGACGATTGTGCTTGGGTTCACTGCCGGAGGTGGGCCAGAAGGTGGTGGTGGAGAGCCTCCCATGGAGGAGGAAATGTGAGTTATTAAAACACGAATTGTTAACAAAAAAGGGGAATTAAAAAGGCCCCAGGAATACGGTACATTTTTGGCTTAATATTCAGTTACCGTTTTTGCTTTGATGTAGCCATCATCATGAACATATGAAGGGAAAACAGAAATGGCAGTGCTAGGGGCCACTTTGAGCACTGGGTTCACAGGCAGCAGCAGTGGGCACTGGGCCTGTATGTGAGTAAGTGGCCTGCTTGCATACTTATTGAACATCTTGCAAACAAGATGACTTATTATTATTTTTTTTTAATACAAAGTCAGATATACAGAGAGGAGGAAAGACAGAGAGGGAGATCTTCAGTCCGATGGTTCACTCCCCAAGTGAGCACAACGGCCAATGCTATGCCGATCCAAGGCTGGGAACCAGGAACCTCTTCCTGGTCTCCCACATGGGTGCAGGGTTCCAAAGCATTGGGCTGTCCTCAACTGCTTTCCCAGGCCACCAGCAGGGAGCTGGATGGGAAGTGGAGCTGCCAGGATTAGAACCGGCGCCCATATGGGATCCCAGCGCATTCAAGGCGAGGACTTTAGCCTCTAGGCCATGCCGCTGGGCCCACAAGATGACCTTTAAATCCTTTTTAGTGATATCAGAACAAGAGTTTAGCTCCCATCGTTCCTACCCAATGTGTCTTTGCTGAACTTGGATGTTACTCACATTGTGCTTGTTGAATGGGGCTGGGGGTGGGACGGTTCTGATTTGAGGTAGGGAGGGATGAGATGCGAGCTGTCCAGTGGAGGACCTAGGCTGAAGAAGAGCGCCAGTGTTCCTGCTTTTGCAGGTCACAGGGATACTTGTTCTAGGGGGAGGTGTTTCTCGAAGGAGTGCAGTCCATCAAGAAAGAACGTAAGCTAGCCAGGTGTGTGCTAACTCAACTGGTAACAGAAGGATGCCCCAGTGAGCTTAGCGTGAAGATCCCAGACTTAAGATACTCAGGAAGGTTTCTTCCTGTTGTCTTAGTCATCATACTGAGAGCTTCTTCATTCGTTCATTTGTTCATTCACAGGCTCATGAAGGAACTTACTTGCTTATTTATTCAGATTTCCAACTAACATTTTTGCCTTAGTAAGGCTACTGTGTTGGAGACTCCCTAGTGAGATTGTCGTCCCCGACTTCTGGCAGTTACAGACACTGAGGACCTCAATGGCTGGATCCAGGCTAACTCTCAGAATTAACTGCCTCATTTCAACTTGCAAACAGCATTCCTGAGGCAGTGTTATTTACGACATGCTTATGATATACCTCTGAGAGCAGATGATTAGGGAAAGTAGTGAACTGAGCTTGCAGACAGACTTCAATTTGAATCCTGCCTTCACCATAACCCAGCAGTATAACCTTAGGAATGGCTTGCTGTCTCTGAGCCATGGCTTTCTGACTTCAAGGAATAAATAGTGGCGAACACTGAGGCCAGTTCAAACATTTAGCGTAATATCTTGCCACAGCACATGTGCAATAAGCATGAGTGATTTTATGATTATATTACCAAAAGGGAAACCAAATGCACCTCAAAGGGTTTATCTGAGGTTTCTTACTAGGGCCTATGCCCCTACTCCAGCATAATGCCTAGCTATTCAGTGACAAAGAGCTTAACAGTCATACTCTTTGACACTGAGTTCAGAATAAATGGGAAAGGGGCGAGGAAATTGAAAATTTGGGATGGCTCAGGTCAGGAGTCAGGAGCATAACCAACTCCTGTTTGCAGTCTAAAAGCCGCATGCTAGGTGTTCAGTGCAGTGATTGCGATGCTGCTGCTTGGGGTACGATGCCTGCATCCTGTGTCAGAGTGCTTGGGGTTGAGTCCCAGCCTCACTCTTACTAATGCATACTCCGGGAGGCAGCGGGCGATGGCTCAGTACCTGGATTCCTGCCACCCTCAGGGGAGATCCTGACTGAGTGACCAGCTCTTAGCTTCAGCCTGACTCAGACGCCAACTATCAGGGGAGCGAACCAGTGGACATCAGTAAATCCTTTCTTTCTCTTGTCTGTTTCTTTGTCCTTTTTGTTTCTCAAATAAATATTTTTAAGCTGCACAACTTCATGTATAAGTCTATAATGATTACAACATTTGAATTTCAGCCCTTCTGAATCTCCCTCCCTCCCCCTCCCAGGGTGAATGATGATTGGATGCAACCATTTTACTGAGGACCATTTTTATGATGAGTTATTCTTGTCAATGTCTGATCATCAAATAATGGGTAAGACAGAGCCTGTCTCCTACATTCCCATTCCCAAGCCCACTACCTTCCATTTGAAATAGTCAAAGAAAAGGGAGAAATTTGGGACAAGGTGAAGCTTGAGGCCGGTGGTTAGCCGAGAGGTGCCATGACATTTACCACTCGAAGAGAGTACTCTAACAGTGCTTTTATCTCTCGATGCAGAACTATCAGAACATCTCAGAGTCTAAATTCACATCAAGATGTCCTGCTGTTTCTAGTCTCAGCTCCAAAATGTGAACGGCTTGGCAGTTACTGCTCTTACCTCTACAATAAGGAAAATGCAAGTGTACGGAAAATCTATGGCTTTTCTTGGATGCACCAGAAAATGAAGTCGCAGGGCAAAATGCCACCCAGCCAGCTTGAGAGGACTGCTTGGCTGGACGCAGAGGCTGCTGCAGCCATGCACTGATGGGAATGCCTAACCATGATGTTGCACTCTAGAGGCTGAGTATAGGCTCAAGTGAGAATCAGAACCTCCCAGGGGCTATTGTCTTGTATGGGGAACGCTTCTGTGGAATTACA